TTAGAGGGTGGGAGCTTAAAGAGAGTTCAGCTACAGCCTCTCTCCACAAGGCTTATTGGACCTCACACAAATAAAAACAGCAGTTGGTCAACCTTTCAGAGTACTCATAATTGCAGGAACATACCAGATTCACAGAGGGACTGAATTGCAGCTCTGGCCTTTGGACCCTTGCCACTTATCTTCTCCATTAGGTCATACATACCGTATATTAAAAATGATAACTTTGCACCTAGATTCACAGAAAATGAAGACTGTAAAGGGCCTAGACACTATAAGTAGATACTATCTAGTTATTCATTCAACAAATATTTGTTTAGTACCCACTGTGCTTTTTCATTATTATACAAAAGAGGAAACAGACTCAGAGATGAAGGTACTTATTCTCTTCTAGGAATTGGCAGAACTCGGGCTTTGCTTTTACTATTTTTGAACCATATGCCAAATACTTATTGGGTGATTTCAGGGTCACCCTTTTGTCATTTCTACTTGCAGACATTCTAGCCCCTGGAACCTTCTTTCACAGCAGTGTGTTTATGCACTCTTGTTTTCCCTCCATAGGCACCATGGTGTAGTAAAAGAAATATTAGGTTGAACATTATGAAATTGTTGGTATTTGATTGATATTCAACCATTTTTTTACCTAACAAAAGGCAGTTTTATATGGTTCAGCCAAAGCCAGCCACTGCTGCCACGTACAAATGCTCTTAATTGAGATCAAAGCTAGTGTTTCGCTCTCTTTTTCTGTATGTATACACACACACCCTCGCACAATTGTTTGTTTTATTTCTCTAGGACATACGGCTAGTAAGGGGGACATTAGGGCCAAAGCTTCTATTTTACAAGTACTGTTTAGTGTCTGTGCTGCATATTTTCCATCTGCCCTTCTAGACTCGCTCTAGACCCTTCTCTAGGGAGCTGTCCTCCACAGACGGCACCAACAGGGCTTCCTTGACCTCTGGCTTCTGGCAAGAGATCAAGCACAAGAGGAGAGAACTTTGGGATATTTATTCCCTGGCTCCTTCTTTGCTAGCCCCTGGCTTGAAAGTGGCTGTCTCTACCTGTAGCCTAGCTCTTTCTCGGTAGCCTTTCTTGCAGCTATGGCTTTTGCCCAGTTCTGGAAACTTCTCCTTCCTGGGTTAGGGGTGGTAAGAGCTTACCATTTTGGCAGCCCTGAGAAGCTTCACCTCCCTTGTTGAGTGTCCTTAACTCTACCCATATGTTTGTTAACAGTCATTTCTTTAGTAGTTTCTTAGTTAATAGTTTCTTCAGTTACTTTTTGACTCTGCCATCCATTCATTTTCTACCAGGGCCCTGACTCATAGAGTTATGTCCTGGCTATGACTTTAGTTTGTGCATATATTGATTGATATGTGCTATACATGTAAGTTCTGAGATTTATACATACTTTTTATACCTGCAGCCTAAGTACTATGACCTTTAAATGCCCTCAGGTAAGAGGAACAATTATTAAAATAATATATCCTTAAATGTTTTGTACTTACCAAAACTAATAGGTATTAAATAAGGCCTTTTATCTTCACCTATAATTTTAAAATAAGAAAATATTGACTGACTTTAGTTTTTTGATATGAAAATGCAATACAATATTCCAGCATTTGTGAAATATAGTTATACTTTTACTTTCCTACTAATTATTAGCTATGGGGAAAAACATTAAATCAAATACAATATAAAAGTTGGCAGCTAATCTTTGCTAGTTCAAGTGTTTTCTAGTGTTTAGTCTTTGACTGTGGTGTATGTAACTACATGCCACATAGAAGGGAAATAAATAACTAAATAAAATCTTTTTAATTCATTAGAATACGATTTTGTTCTCTAACCACAAGTTGGCTTAACCCCCCACCCCAAATTAGTTCATTGCTAGAACAAACATTTACTGAGCACTTGTTATATGTCAGTGCAGTGCATAGTGTTCAGTGATGTGGAAAGTTGAGAAGATTCATGGGAATCACATTCTGGATTCTAGAAGGCTCCTTGAAAATGTCACAAGCCTATTAATTGTTGGTTTGGAAGAGCCAAAATGAAAGCCCAGATCTCTTGGTTCTGGTTGAATCATTCTTTTCATAAAGCTGCACCCCAGTAAGCAGGCACTCAGTGCCTAGCCAATCAGATATTAAAAGGCACAAGAAAAGCAGTTTTCATGCATACCTAACAAATTGTTCAGTTTTACTCGAGGTGATCAGTAAAGTTACAGGCTTCAGAACTCTCTAAAATAAGCTAAGAGTAGTTAATAAATAAAACTACAGCACTATTTGCCATATGATACTTCATGTCTGAATCTATTATCCATTCAGTCTTTATACTGTGGAGTAGGAAAGCCCTAAAGATTCATGCTAAGCCCTTCATATTTAATTACTTTCTAAAATTTTTAACAAGTACCTGTTAATGAATTAGAAGGCTATTTGGAAGACTATCTGTGTCATGGAGCCTCATCTCCCAAATTCCTTACAAAATCAGAAGCCAGTTTTAGCACTGTAGATTTCCAAGCTCTTTGGGTATAGGGGTGGGTTAAGAAAGAAAGGCTAGAATTATAAAACATGTGGATTTGCCTATTGAAAGAGCCTGTGATGGATATGCCACATGAAAGGTACAAGAAACAGTTACCACAGACAAATCTTTGATTGTGTTAAATGATAACCTAGGGCACTTAAAAGTTTTAATAATTATTTATAAAAGTACCATAAAATGCAGGTGCAACTTTTAAAGCTATTAATGGGGTTTATTTCTAATTTTTGGCTATAATCAAATGAAATGAGAATGATTTTAGATGTCAAGGGACAGCTAATTATGGAGTTTTTTAAAATTTTTTAAATCATAAAAAGTAACTTCCACGCCTAGAATCATACAATGGGAGGTCTAAAGTTTATTGATGTATGTATGAATGTACAAATAAGGGTAAAATTACTTAAATCAATTTTCAATTCCATGTTCAACCACGGTTTCAGAGATTGAAATGAAAATCTGACATATTCTTGGCAATTCCTGCAATGGACTCCTTCAATTTCATGTAATAGGCTCCTGCACTTGAACTAAACCAGGAAAAAATGACATAAAATTGGTTATTCTTTTGACATGTTTTTTGACTACTTCCTCAAAACCAGTGCGATACTACTCTGGCAAAACACTACATCTACCTTCTTCAAAGTCAACTGTGTTTGACTTCAAATCTATCCTGTGCTTTTTGGCAGCAAGGTAAAAGAGAAATCAGAGTAAATTATACCGTTCGCATATTATACAAAAGAAGGCTACAAATCAGCTCCTCTGGAGAAACAAAATTTTTCCTATAATAAATTCTAAAAACATAAGTCTATTTGGTGACATTTTAACTAAGAGCACTTATTTTTCTTACTGCAGATTTAAAGGGTTATATAAACATTTCAACTTTTTAAAAGTTGTGATTTCCAAGAAAAGAAATTAACTTAGTGATTTTTCATTTATCACCTCCAAAAATAAAGCAGTTCGTGTTTCTTTTATTATGATGTATTAGAACTTCATTAATAGAGAAGCCTTAGACATAAGTTATCATTTTTGGAGCACAAGCCCACTGTGCTAAATAATGAGATATGGGAATACATTGAACAGCTTGACTTCTGCTGACTTTTACTTAAGAGTGTGAAGTGTTTTAAATTAGACTATGTTAGTATTGATGAAATGTGCACAAAGGGGAAAAATAATTTAAAGGCTTTGTTCCATTTTGAGAGCTAGATAAATTATATAATTAAAAAATAAAGCACTGTGACCTGGGAGTAAGGAAACAACAACTCTCAAACACTGTTGGAGAGAGTGGAAATTAGGGCAACCTTTTTGGAAGGCAATTTGGTAATGTCTAACAAATTTACAGTGCATTTGCCATTGACCTGGCAATTATACATACCGATAAGAATCTGCCCCTAGATAAACTTGTAAAAGTATACCAAAATAGATGTATAAGAGTGTTCATTGCAGCAATTTTGAAATAGCAAAAGAAAAACATTACAAGAATAATCTAAATACATAGCAATAGGGAATAGCTAAGTCAAATGCATATTCATTTAATGGAATAGCCTAAGCATTAAAATGTATGTATGGAGTAATTCTGAACATGCTGATATGAAAAGGACTCCAGGATGGATTAGTAGGCAAATAAGCCAGACATAGACTAATATGATGTGTCTTTTGGATAATTTAAGAAATAGAAATACCTACATATATAGGTTTATATAGAGACATTCATATTTATATCAATTTTGTATTTAAGAAGCATATGCATCTGACCCACTACACTTACCCAGATTTCAAAAGTTGATATGTAAGCATTGATTTTTGATGGAGAGAGGACTTAGATAAGGATAGATCAGAGGATTTTTTTTCTTTCACTTGATAGCTTTCTGTAAAATTTGATTTTTTTGTAACTATGTATATGCAATACTTTTGTTTTACACATCAATATGAGTTTTCTTAAGTAAGTCATTATTGTTCTTTGTTTTTACACATTTAAAAACTCAATAATTAATATTTTGAAAGATAATAAAAGTATATTGTCAAGATTTCCAAGGGTATAAAGTATGCCATACTTTAGTGTGTGAGTATTGTCAGAAAATCAACTACAGTTTTTATGTAATATTCTGATCACAAACAAAAGTCAGCTCCTGCAGCCACTACCCCTGTATTGAGAGTGAGTCCCTTAGCTGTGTGGAGGTTAGATCAGCTTGGTGTAGGACAGTTAGAGAAATCATATCTACCTCCCCTTCTGAGCAAGAAAATTTGAAATCAGTTATTGCAATTATTTCACTACTCTGTGGTAAAAGAACATATGACAAAATAAAGGCCTCTCTGAACAGTACTCATTTAATGGATCCAAGTTTGACTCAAAATGGGGGAAAAAATTGTTACATATTTCCCTTGGGCTCTATAATTTAACACAGCATACCCTATTTTTGAAGCAGTTCCAAAAAGAAACAATATGAATAAATGTTTTCCGCTCTTTTGAATCTTTCCAGAATTGCAACTTCCAGTGAGTCCCTCTGTATGTCTGGAACAGGGAATACAATTAAAGCCAAGTACTTCAAGTCACCTTTTAAAAACAGTGAAGCCACCTATCTGGAAACCAGGGAACTGGAGACGTGAACAGCTGTAAGCTAATAATTTTGAATTGTTATAGCCAGCATGCATTTTAGGAGACAGCTAACAAAAGAAAAGCACAGAACAGATCGGGGCTGGGAGGGGGGCAGGAGTGTTACATGTTTGAATTATAGGTTCCGTTACATAAATTTTCAGCTATCCCCTTCTTAATAAAGAAAGCTATCATTGACTTTCTTCTAGATTAATTCAAACCTCTGCTTCTATAGAATAAACATTTCAGCAAATTGGACTCTTATCTAGTAAGTTACATTAATGGAAATTGAATTTAAAACCTTGACAATGTGAAACTATAAAATTTTAACTTCTATTTTATACTCAAATGGCATTACCTTAGCTTGTGGGTATGGCTGAATGCATTTTTTTCTAACTATTAAGTTTTTGTGTTTTTTTAATGGCTCCTATAATCTAAGAAAGCATCTGCTGTATATCAGGCTATCCAGGTTACTTCCAGAGGAAGGATTGTAGAATGTAGATATTATTAATATAATGAAAAGTTAAGAGACTTAGATTATCTTATCCAAGACACAAATGAATTCGCCTCCTCTAATTTTATAATTATTAAATAGTATTTAAGCAGAATCATGTGCATTGTGCTTACCTAGACTTCAAAAGTAAAAATTACACAATCTTCTCATTGGTCACATTTAGATATTAATATTTAACATATAAAAACATGGTACAGAAAAGCAAGTAGCTATAGATTTTATTATCATTTAGGATGAAAGTATATTTGTTTCATTACAAAACATTAAACGAGTGTTAATTTTCCTTTGTACACTGAAGTGTTTTCCTAATACTTCATCCCTTAAATTGACCCTTAATTACCTGGGGTGAGAGGTATTAGGAAGGAACTAGCAGGGAAAGTATTTTGGCATACTTTTGGTGACTTGTCCATTATTGCAAAACTTAATATGTTTACATGGAGAGGAAAAGATAGGGCGAAGGTAGGTGGGGGCAGAAAAAGATTTGAGAAAGTATTTCACTGTTTACAAACTGTAATTTATATCACTTTTGTTGTTGTCATGGTACCATGAATCTGAGGTCATGGGTAATGTGACTAATTTAATTTTTAAAAAAACTTTAAACCTATTCTAAGTACTATTTTCCTAGCTTTTTTTCTTATAAAAAATGTTTTGATTAAATCTGCCAGAGTGAAGAACTATTACCCATTTTATCCTCTCTCTGCACCTGTACACCCCCTGGTGGTGATCTAATAAGCAGTTGAAATTATTTAAGGAAACCCACATACTGAAGGCTGGGGTTCAGCAAAGGATAGCAGGGGGGTTACAAGCTTTTAGGTAATTTACCAATTACATACTCAACCTTAAATTATGGAGCATTAACTATGTTATTTTATTTTTTAGGAATCAAACAACAGTCCTTGCTCCACATGAAACAATCTTTAGAGCCGAAGATCTATCTGTGATTCTTAAAGCGTATGTGTTGGTGACATCCTTAACCCCTTTGCGTGCATTCATTCATTCAACTGGCACTGTTTGGAATCTACCAAAGAAAAAACGCTTCACTGAAAAGGTAAAGGCTCCATCGAAGCTGTCATTTCACACAAAGTACACTGGAGATAAGTAAAGTGAGTTGGGTTGCCATTCTCTGACCTTTATGGTTGGCAAATCTCATTGAACAAAGATTGCATCTTTTTATTGCTGCAAGCAGAGATTTTCATTTAATAGGTGCTGGTTCAAACATGAGCTGGAAACAGCTTAAATCACTAGCGATCACAAAGGCTACATCTTTTTTTTTTTTTTTTCCTCAGCTCATCATTGTAGTTCAATTCTTTGACCTATTACAGAGCTAGTTCTTGGTCATACTCTTTTTTTTTTTTTTAACTTTCCACTTATTCAGGAAACAAATGAAAATATAATTTAACCCTTATGCTTGTTGCTTCATCCTTAGGAAGCATAATGCCTAGTTCATTACACCAGTCAATATGGAATATTTGCTGAGTGAAAAAAATAAATCTCTCAAGTGTTCCTAATATAGCAAGCCATGACATAAAAGATAATGAGGAAGTTTTCAGAGGAGAACTTAATAATAACCCCAAAAGTTTAGTTATAAAGGGTAGCTCAGGTTAACTCAGTTGAAAATTAGGTCTAATGACAATATATTTGATACATTTTAAAGAATGTTTGATTTTACAGAAATAATTGTTCATAGTTCAGGAGGAAATGGGAAGAAATTGAAAGAATGTACAGCGCCTCTCATAGCTTCAAGAGATTCAAAAGGGACCAAACTTGATTTTTTTTTCCAGAATTTATCTTACATAAATTGCATTTTCAATTCTGGAAAACCTTCCAATGGTGAAAAACTTTTAAATCACCTATTTAAATATTGTCAATTAAAAACACATCAAATTGTATTTTATTTGAAATTTTTTCTTTTCCTAACATTTTTATATGCAGCACTACATATTTTCAGGAAGGGACTATCCAGGTTGCTATTTGTACATCATCTGTGTTATTTTTCACTGATTCACAATATTCCATGCTGTGCATTCCATTATAGTTTACCTATCCGCTTCTCTATGCTGATAGTTCCAACTCTTAACCAAGCAATGCTTCAAATATAAAAATATTTATATAAGGCCCTTTATGAACTTGTATAAGATTTTCTGGAGAATATACAGCCATCAGTGGAATTGCTGGGTCATCACCTCATAGCATATGGGTTTATTTGATAGAATTACATAATGCCAGCTTGACTTCCAAAATGTCTGCATCAGTCTCTCCCCAATTATTAGGGTTTCCATATTCCCAAAACTTGGCCAACATTTGGCCTTTCTAGCTTCCAAATTTTGCCAGTCTAATAGGTGAAAAGTGATATTTTACTCTTGCAAATAGTACAGTCTGTCAACTTTATTTGCAGTGTCCTGGTTGATCAAAATTCCTCAGTTGATTAATCAAATTAATTTTTCTTTATAGTTTGTGTTTTGAGATTTAGTTTCAGAAATTTTCTTATCCCTAGATCACAAAAATATGCTTCTCCATTGTCCCTTATTTTTTCCTAGACATAGAAGTACTTAATTCAAGAAGAGTTCACCTTTGACCCCCCTTTTTTTTTAATAGTCAAACAATTCTCCCAACACTAAGGGCTAAGAACTCATTTCCCATGAATAGGATATCGCCTTTTTTGTATAAGTTTCCACATCTACATGAAGTTGCCAGCACTAGCCAGGCCATTCCAAAACAGTGTTCAGCATTGCTTTCACACAGGTTTTTATTATTTGTTCTTTTGTTATCAAATTCATGCTTTGATCTAATTTCACCTGTGCTAGTTCTCTATCCTAACAGGAAACTGAAGGTCTTAGGTATTCTGAGTAATTTTTTAAAAGTATTTTTCCTTTTTTGTTTATTTAAGTGCTACTTTCTCTTCCCCAGTAGAAATAAGCTTTTTTATGATAGGTTTTATTTATGCATTTCCTGAAGATAAATCATGAGAAAAGAAAGCTCTTTGTGATTTGGTATTCTTTAGATTTTCATGCTTTATTCCCTATTTTGTTTCTTATTCATATTTTTGTCGTATATGCAGGGTGGATGGAAGCTGCAGCTGTAGCATGGGAAAGTGTGCGGTGTTTGTCATTTTCATCCTAGTCTTGGGATTTATCTTTTCAAGATCTTGCCTGATTATTCTGGACAATACTGTTATCTGCTCTCAGAGGGAGGTAGTGCAGCTTCCTGGGTTTAATATGTAAGAAAGCAATTGTTTCCTCACTAGGCCAAAGTTATGCTTGATGATATAGGTAAATTTCAGAAGACAAGGGGATATTTATTTACCCTGAAGTACTTAATACTTCAGCTAAAACAAATAGATTATAACTCATCTGTTATGTCACTTAATCATCTTCCAAAATACTACTTCCTCCTGGTATTTTTAGATGTGAAAAAATAAACAGAAACTTCTTGATGCTAAGGTGGAGGACAAGACTGAAATCCACTTTAAAGACTAACCATGTTATACCAGGTTGTTATTAAGCACTGTTCTTAAATTCCATAAAACATAGTTAGTGTGTGTGTGTGTGTGTGTGTGTGTGTGTGTGTATACTGAGTCCTGAATTCAAACACTAAATTACTTAGTTAAATCAGTAGTGATTTATGCACCATGCAGTGAGGCACGCCCACTAAACTGGTTATCAGTGGTCATTATAGAACATTCTGGCCACTAAAGGAGATATGAAAGCAGTAACAGATATAACTATGAGCTCATTTATTCCCAATTAGGTCTGCTGCTGAGATACTTTATCTGTTAAAGCTTTGGATAGAGTTGAAAAATATCAAGAAATGCAAACTTGAGAAATAATGGAAGATAGAAGCTTTATAAACTAAATTTTTTAAAAAAAACTCTGATAGAATGAAAATATTTTGAAATTTAAGCATTAGATATTTCCAAAGGATGTTCAGACCCACAACAGGGAGGTGCAAAAAGGGAAAGAAAATTAATAGCAAAGGCAATGTTTGCTCAATCTATCCTTTGATTTTTTTTTTTGAGACAGAGTCTCGCTTTGTTGTCCAGGCTAGAGTGAGTGCCGTGGCGTCAGCCTAGCTCACAGCAACCTCAAACTCATGGGCTCCAGCGATCCTTCTGCCTCAGCCTCCCGAGTAGCTGGGACTACACGCATGAGCCACCATGCCCGGCTAATTTTTTTTTTTATATATATATATCAGTTGGCCAATTAATTTCTTTCTATTTATAGTAGAGACGGGGTCTCTCTCTTGCTCAGGCTGGTTTTGAACTCCTGACCTTGAGCAATCCGCCCGCCTCAGCCTCCCAAGAGCTAGGATTACAGGCGTGAGCCACCGCGCCCAGCCTATCCTTTGATTTTAAAACAACTATATTTGCTACTGTTAAGGCAGTATCATTTACTTGGTGAACATAATAAATTCAATTTTAAGCAATATTTTATTTAAAAATGTCTTCCCCTAGAAAGCACTCAATCTAATTATAAAATTCTTCAGTTATATCTGTGAATTCAAGGGTAGAACTCTTCTGCACCCATTCTAACTGTAACTTTTGGTCAAATGCATCCATGCCTGTCTTTATACACAGATCATATTGGATAAACTACAAGAAATGTCATACATTTAAATTTGGTCATTAGAGTAAAAAGTCACAAGTTATCCCTTCATGCATTGTAAATCATGAAATATAAAGTTATGAAATAGAAAGGAAACTCTAATATCTGTAACTTTTTTAATGTCTGAAGATTCTTTATACCTGTGACCATAGCTGACTATTTTAATGAAAATATATTGCTGAGGGGATTTGTGACTTCTGGCAGAAAAGCTTGTCAAAAGCCTTATTTTGTCTGGTCAAGATATAAATTAATTCATTGTTTGATCAGCCATCTCATATTTAAAGATGATTTGTTTGTTGATACTAAATATCTGATTTCAGATATAAAGTTATATGAAGGTGATTCTTTGTATATAATAAGTTCTTGATAAATGTCTCTTGAATTGAATTGAATCAAGGGTCATTTTAAAAATTTTTAACTGTGTGAAGAAATTATCTGAGTCTACTTTATCCCTAACCACTCTAAGCCAGCACTCTACTTTGCAATGATATATAAATGATATATAGATGATAATTTGTTTTCCAGTAAAGGCAATGGACAGATGTCATAATGTGAATTTCTGGACAGGGCCACTTTGATAGAAGAGACGAAAACCTGAGACACTACAGCCTTTTCTCAAGTCAGTATCTGTGAGAATCACCTTCAATGGTAGCCTAAGTTAAAGCAAGCTCCTGCCCACTCTGTGGCTCTAAATCACCAGTTTTCCACTCCAACTGCACTGGCCTTCAGGGGACTATCCTTCCCTCTCCAGTGCCTGAAGTTCCCCCTCAAATCAATGCGATCAGCAAATGTGTACAGAGAGGAAAGGAGAACCCTGGAAAAGAGGGGAACGTTGTTATTTACAAGGTCTCTCTTTAAGAGATGCATGTATCTCTTATGCATTTCGGAAACATGACACAGTTGCAGGGATGAAGTTAGCCTCATTTGTCGTCAGTATTTATGCAGCACCTTTGGTAATGTCAGGTGAAATAGCTCATATATTCTCAGGGTAAAAATGAGTAATGTCTTTGGAAGCAGGTATAAAGTGACAGTATGGTTTTTCAACCTTAGGAAGTGTTCTTCTCCTGATTTTCATTTTATGTCTAAAACTGCAGGCTATGAAGCAGACCTTGTAAAAGACTTTTTCACTGAGCATCTGGCCCTTCAGTAGGCTTGGGAGATTTATGTCAGCTGTAGAAAGAATGTGAATAAAAGTCTGCTGCTGAGAGTTTATAAAAAAAGAGTTGATGTATTACTTAACCTACTTTTGCTTGGATTAATTTTAAAAATTGCATCAGGGTGTTCATTTTAAAGTATGATTTTATATAAATAAGAATTATAGATAACCAGCATATAATTAAACATGTGACCAAATGTGACTTACTGTAAAAACTTATATAATAACTGCAAAATAACACTTATCTAATCAGCCCACATTGGTGTTAGATATTATTTCAAATATATATGT